AAGCTACCCGACATCTTTAAGAATGCCGCCAGCTTTTCCGCTCTTTTTCTAGTGAAGACCAGTGGCAGCAGCAATCCCGCCAACCTCGAAACCATTCGGCTCCAAACTTTCCACCTGGTTCATTGGTATGGCTTCGTGCACCTGGCCGCTCCACAAAACTTCTTCCCAAATACCTCGGATCATACCACGTTGTAGAGCAAACGTCACTCGTCAACTACATCGTGTAGCCCGTCATCCTATCCACAGACCTTCGCTACCGCAGCCCTGACACTGTCCACGTCTCTCGCCTCAAGCCGCATTATGACTCATTAGTTGTTTCTTCTCCTTATATTCCACCAGGATGGCACCTTTTTCTGCGGAGGGAGATTGTAGTGAAGAATAGGGGTCTCAGTGGCATTACTCTGCGCCTCAGGGGAATCGCCATAAGCAACGCTGCTGACTGCTTCTCCTTATACGTTCTGCTCTACAAAGTGCAAATAAACGCCTATACAATATATTTATATATATATATATATATATATATATGTGTGTGTGTGTGTGTGTGTGTGTGTGTGTGTGTGTGTGTGTGTGTGTGTGTGTGTGTGTGTGTGTGTGTGTGTGTGTGTGTGTGTGTGTGTGTGTGTGTGTGTGTGTGTGTAAGCGCAAGAAAGAAAAATAATCCAGGAAAAAACTCTGGTGCGCGACATCGAACTTGGAAACACTGAGCCGCGGAGAACCACCACTTTCAACGTTCAAATGGCAAGCTATCTATATCTACACTTACCGCTGCTGACGGGCATCTTCGGGGGAACTATCATATTTTCAGCATTACCCGCAAGATGGCGTAATGAGCATGCGTCGCCACACCGTTACGACTCGCTTGCGCGCGCTCTCATCTCGCACGTGTACATTGCGCCGCGGAGAGGAGAGAGGTGACCATCACTCGCACGCCCTTATCAAGCGGTGGGGAAGATCATATTACGTCTTGGCTGGCCTTGGGTTTTTTATGAGAACAAATCTATTGTAGTTACCGGGCGTACAAAGGTCACTGCACTCGTTGAACAGTCTCCGTTTGCGAAAAGAACGCGCTTTTCGGACACAACGAAATAACAATTGCGACACTTCTACGCGTTCATTTGTACCTGCGAGTACGTTTGGTGCATCATTTGTGCATGAGGAACGCGGGGCACGTTTGAATCTGCTTGCTATTCTACGCGTGACGTTCCAGTTTGTTGTTATTTCGTTCATTTCTTCGCCTTTGTGACAGAGCAATGACTTTTTTTAAAACACCCACAGTGAGTTTCTAGTTACTTGACCTTTATGGGGAGTTTAACAAGGTCATGTCGTCCATGAACTTTGTCATTAAAAAAACGATGATGAACAAACGTTTTTACGCCAAGATTTTAAATGAAATTGAAATATTGGTCTCTCAAATCAATAGAGGCAACTCTTACTCCAGGCGGAAACTAGGGGAAAATAATGAATTTATAGCGTTATTTCATAAACTGGCACCTCAGGCGGCAGCGCAGTGAACTTGACAAGGTGACGTTTGGGGACATCACGAAAACCCGAAACGGGCAAGCCAAGAATGCCAGGCGTCACCCACGTTTCTGGACTCGCTCATCTCCCACTATGATTACCAGAAGCGTTATGAACATCAAAAAGCAGCGAACAATGCTTCCAGCTGGGTCAAAGCACTAGCGTTTTTGTAAAAAGGAAAAAGTGGCAGGCAAAGAGAGGTGGAGAAAAGGAAGACGAGGACAAGAATAAGTGCATCCTGCAGGCACCTCAGTGATTCTGACGTCGCGGCTCACGCTCGGGAGCAGCAGCCACCCGCTCGCTGTTCATCAAAGATATAGCCAAGCCAACTGTTGAAAAATACGAGAAATTAACTCTGTTTCTCGGAACCATGGCATTTTCCAAGACACATTTTAAAGTTTCGTCAGTTTTTTTTACACTCTGAGAAAAATACAGTATTCGGAGAGTATTTCTGCTACACAACACTAATCATCATCTGACTTCCTCGCGTTTTGTTTCTTGAAAACCCGGCGGTGGCCGATTTCCTGTTGAGAATGCTTGTCAACCTCATAAAACATGCGCCATTCGCGACCGCCAACTACCAAAACTGTGGTCACAGCGCGAGGAAAGTACTCCAAGTAGATGATAAATTTGTGGGGTTTAACGTCCCAAAACGACCATATGATTATGGGAGACGCCGTAGTGGAGGGCTCCGGAAATTTCGACCACCTGGGATTCTTTAACGTGCACCCAAATCTGAGTACACGGGCCTACAACATTTCCGCCTCCATCGGAAATGCAGCCGCCGCAGCCAGGATTTGAACCCGCGACCTGCGGGTCAGCAGCCGAGTACCTTAGCCACTAGACCACCGCGGCGGGGCTACTCAAAGTAGATGACGATTACTGTTGTTTAGCCGAAAAACTCCCCAAATACTCGAATTTTTAGAGTGTATTTTTTTGAGTACCTCTTAAAGCAAGGGGTGTTTTGCGATGACATGTGTCGAGTTCACTCCGCTATGACGGAGTGAATAATTGGTCCTGCAGAGTTTGGGGGCCTCATATGCGGGACAAACTTTCCTATTGGCTGATTTTTTCTTACAGTGCGTATTTATTCTTTCTGCAAATAAATGAACACACTGTCTTACTTATATACTGATGTAACGCCTCAAAAATACAAAATATTTGCTTTTTGATTGACAATGTTCGCACGTATGAACACACCCACCAGATCATTATAGGTGGGCTTCGAGCGAGAGGTTAAGCTTCTGCCGAGTGGCTGAAGCGTTAAAGAGAATTACCAGTAACAGGTACACAGTAAACATAACACCATTTTTGCGTTAACGTATCTTAAGAAATACTATCGTCTCTAGAAAGTTCTTTCGATGCGGCTGTTGGTGATACACATTCTTAGCCACGTTTGAAATATGTACTTCTAGGATATACACTGAAATATATAGAAAGTCGTGGAAGTGTTCATCGAGTAGTCGGAAACGCTATTTTAGTTTAATAAAATTCATTATTGAGAAATTCTGTCTGCAGGCGATTGTACTACCGAACACTGCTATCGTAGGTGCTAATAGTTCCTTCTATCTCGAAAACCGTCTGCGAGGTGACTAGCACTCGACTCGAAAAGCTTCGGGTGCTGTTCGAAATTATCGAAAATGAGCTAACCCAACTTGGAACTCCTTTATTCAATGGGTAATATTTGACAGTGTTTTCTCTTTACGAAGATGAGTAATCCTATGTCGCACGAGATTTTTGCAGCAATTGGTATGAGAGATATCAGACTCGCTTGTGCTTTGTTGGAGAAAGTTGAGTTTTGGCTCAAAAGCACTAACGCCTGCAAGCACGCCGGGAACGAGACTTCTTTTTACTCGCTGTATGCCATGTCGTCCTTCACACGGTTTGTGACAAGACAAAAGTAGGACTCGTGGCATCGTTCTCAAAGCCACATGAGGTTCGCTGGCTACAGGCTACCGACACCTGTTCTAGAGTGCCACTATGGGCTGTATTGGCAAGTATTAGCAAATGAAAAATGCAAATAATAAGAAAACTTCTGCTTCCAGCTTTCTTTCACAAAGCTGCTTCACCTAAATTGAACTCTTCATATAAAGTCACAGAGGTTTTAAAATGTAAACTTGCGAAGAATACATGCAGGTTGGGCCAGTGACTGAGTTTTATTGGTAAAATATAAAACAGGGCTTTACAAACAGGGGAAAAAATGTCAGCGCCGTTTGTGTCATTTTTACCCGTCTAGGTCGTAAACAGCAATCTTTTTTTTTTTGGTCCAACAAGTTTGTTGCCCCCACTGGTATTTTCTATTACTATCATTGTCATCATCTTTGCAGAAAATTGTGCTTTTTTTTCTCCTATCAAAATGGTTTATTTGTATATTCAATGATTATTATGTAATAGCATATTTCTCCAACCCTATATCGGCTGTAACATAAAATGTCAGCTATGAAGTGCTTAATTGCACAAAAGTGACTTACTGTTTCAATACTGATTATAGCCAACAGACAATGATGCCAATTATAGGGGATGATATTCGAAGTAAGTTTAATGGGAGCGAAAATAAAGTTGACGAAATGATAATTTGCAGCTAGTGAACTTGTGGCCTTCGGATAATGCGTCCAATGCTTTAACAACGAATCCACAGCGGTGGTCATCGTCCCATTCACTTTATCTTGTATTTGTGTTCGTTTACCCTGGTAGTGTTAGCGCTGCCAGTAGCCATGACGGCGAGTGTGGAACACTCCTTTCCTGCCTCCTGGCGTAGAGAAGCACGCGAACTTTTTTTAGGAGCTAGCCGCTGACCAATATTTACTTGCAAAGAACGTAAAGGCATCGAGTGTGCAAGAAGTAGACGCTCAGAATTATTCAGAAAAAACAAGGGAGTTATCAGGGCTAACGTTTTTAGTTTGATTTAGTTTATTAGTACTTCAATGTTCCCGAGGGACAATACATGAGGCGTGGGCAAGAAAAAACATAACAGATGAAACAAAAAAGAAAGCAAAGCAGCACTGACAATGACAAAAAATATAAAAACCGCAGTACGTCATGTTTACGAAAATAAAATATGGTTTTTTACAGTGGTTTTAAATTGAGCAAACTAAGATGACATGGCGATGTGGGCGAAAAGGTAGTCCCAGTCTTGCACTGTCTGAAGGAAAAATTATCTCTGAAAGGTCCTTTAGTAGGGGGGGGGGGGGGGGGGGGGCTACGGAATATACTACGTTGCAGTGAGAATGGCGCGATGTTCGACATGCAGGACTGATAAATGCATTGCCTGTTGGCAAGGAATGAAATAACTTATAATACAGGCACAAGCGTTACACTTTACGGCATTGTTCTTTTCCTTTTATATTTTATGATACAGCTACACCATCAAAGCTTGCACCAGACAAATTATTGTGATGTGCTCATAAATTGACGTTATATAGTTACCCATGTGCAATAAGTGTCATGTGTTTTTACTGACCATCAAGTGCCCTTCTTCGCAGGCGGGACAACATTCTTATACTGGAAAAACTGCTTATGACGGTTGAAGAAATCGATGTCAATTTAACACCAATAGGAACACTAAGCTCTGTCATCACATTTTTTCTACCACCGAAATTTCTGGCAGAAGTGGTCAAGAATAATATCCAGCAACTTACTAACAGTACAATACAAGGCGGTCTTGATGCCATACGCAGTTTCGCTCAGGGAGGCGCAAGTTTGGCGTGAGGATGAACAAGTGCTCCAGCAAGAGAAAATAAACACAAAATAAACTTTTCCAACGACATTCTTTGTTGAGTATTTTGCATTGTAGAGTCGCATACTGCCATAGTTACCTAAACATACCCATACAAACACACTCTTTCACCTCATCATGCATTTGTAAACCAGAAATAACAAAATAAATTGGTCCGATCTACAGTTTACACTGAAGCTATCGAGAAGTTTTGACTTGGGGCGACTTCTGGAGGAACCAAGTTCCAATTTCAAAGCAACCTGAAGCTGGTGATGTGGAATCTGGAAACACCCTGGAGGAGTTCATTACACATTCTAAAGTACATTGGAAGAGCAAGTTGCATCTGGCTTGAACACCTGAATATGAAATGAAATAGAAATATGAAAGCGCATTCTGAAAAACCAAATAAAGTTCATCCATACATCCTTCCAAGTTGAATATGGTTAAGGCGGAAACTTTAGATGCCTCATGACACAAAAAAATTGGCTGAAGTGCAGCGGCGTCGGTGCCAGCACAACCAAAAATAGTGAAGTCTCGTCGGCAGCACTCTGACGCCACATGATGGCGTCGGCGCACAACATCACCAATTGGTCAATGGAGGACGGATCATGGTGACAGTGCAAAATCAGGTGACGTGTAAACAGCGTGCAACAGCTGCGATATTCGAGTCAGTGAAGAACTATGCATTTTAATTGCGGTAAGCTTTCTGTAGATGGCAACAAAAGGATTACTTTCGACTTCGGGTCGTCTTCGTAAATGCATAAACGCAATAATTTTTTTCTTGCGCTCTAGAGCTACACAAGTATCCAGATTTGTTGTATGTCTCATGAAAATGCTTTCCGAAACACCAATATTTCTACACGGTAATGCAGAAGTGTGTTTTTCCAGTAGCTAGTGGCTGTGAAATAACCTCTTCAGGTGTTTCTGTCATTTATTTTACAAAAACAGAAAAAATGGTTTCTAACATTGGAGGGCGCTTAGCCTTCGCCTACAAGAGGAGGTCGCAATTCGCGATAACGTAATTGGCCCTAATGTGAATCGCCTTATGAACTGCTAACCTGCTTCGGTTTTCGCTGCATGCAACAACAATCCCGTAAGAAAACGAGCAACTCTGAACCTAACATTGGCCATTACAAAGTAAAATAAATGGCTATTGCAAGCGCAGTTTTTAAGTGCCCACTGCGCAAGAATTATTTCTGTTGCCATTCTGAGAAGGGCCCCGTACGCGCGCATCAGGCAACACGCAAACCTATGCAGTACTTAAAATAAATAGCCCGACGCTCGAAAATAAATAAATACTTATCAATGCAGTTGCAGCAAGACAACCAGCCCAGTGATGTACCCAGTAGTAAAATCTGACTTTATCGAAGTCTGCTATATATCGCTGTCCTTCATGCCGAAGTCTTTTCAGCACTAAACTGGGTTAACGTCAACACAGAAAAAACGTTCGTGGCTACATCCAACAAAAATATCTGCGACATATGTATATTGAAGATCAGGCATACGAAATTTCCCGAGAAATTGGGTTTTCTCGGACAAACTTCATTTTTTACACAAAAGGGAGCTTTGCCGCATGAATTTGCGAGTGAGCGGTCTGATTAACGAGGCCTTATGCATACCAGGTTTTCTTGCCTACAGCCCACCCCTACATATAAGCACCCCTACGTTCCGCCATATCAAAACCGTGCTTGAATAATAAAATAATCGCTGTGTTCCTCTAAGCTGCTGTCCTTCCATTATCGTGAAGTATATCCGATAACTAATTTTCTCATACTATTAAATTGAACGCAATGTTGAAAGTATTGCTGCTTTTAGCGAGTTCCAATATATGGCAGTTCGACTGCAAAAAAAATGAGTTTTACTTTGGAGTTTCATGAATGGGACATTGCGCATAAACCACAATGCTTGCAAATATATTTTCCTTCTTTTCTCTTCCCCACAGAACATAACAATCTTAGTTGTTCTTGTGAATAAAACCAAGCTAAAGATGCCCTTCTCGACAAAGTAATGAAGATGTATTTTTCTTCTGGAGGACTTGGAAATCTACTGATTTCTGACCTCAACTACACTATTATTGTAGGCCTTTTTAAGTGGCTCAGGGAGTTCTATTGGGCTTGAACGCCTTGAATGAATTGGTTGAAACTATCTCTAAGCAAAGTGGAATGAAAGTATAAAAGTTCGCGCTGCCTTGATGTTCCAGGGTCTCAACATTTCAACAGCTTTTCGGGAAAAGGACCTCATTGGATAAAGGAACATTACAGCAAGTTTCGCTCCAGCTATTGAATTTGTCGTGGTAATACAAGAGTATGTCACTTTTATCATTTTGCTTATGCTCTCGTGCACAGTTAGGGAAATAAAAACGAGCTTCTTGTGAAACCTTGCGACGTTCTTACTAATGAAGTCGAAATTGCGCGAGCAATACGTTCAGTGATATTCTTCATTACGATGTAGTATCCAGGACGGATGTCCCGAATGAAACAAGTTCTGTTTCGGCTTGCAGTTCTACACATATCGTTCTTGCCGAAATTTGTTGCCTCCATTGTTTTTAATACAAACAACAAAGCTATGTTTGTTCTGTTTAGATTTACATACATCCTTCAGCTGAGCTTGCCGATTCTTGATTGAACTAATGCCGACCAAGGAATTGATGAAGTCTCTAAGAAAAACTAACTTGGACAAGCGGCCGTGATAGGAATGTCTCGTGGCGCTCAAAAGTGATAAACATGTAACTCACTCATGTTTGTGTGAATGCTGTTATCGGCTATCTTTCTCTCTCTTCTCACTCTTTCCTCCCCCTCTTTTGAACGTCCCTTTCGTGTTCCCTCGTGTAGGGTAGCAAACCTACTTTGCTAGATTGCTTATTCTCCATACCTTTCCGTCTCCACCAATTCTTCTCTTTCCTTAGCGATTGTTTTATCTTGCCGCTATCCGGGCTACGCCGCAGCGTTATCCACTTTTTGTGACATAACCCTATCTGCTTGCACGCCACAGCAGCGTGACGCCAAGCCACGTAGATGAGCCGCCAGCTACACCGGCACTTAGCCGTGCTCCCTTATGGTTCCCAAAAATAATGCATTTTTCCTTCCTTATTTATAAACACTACCCAACTCCCCCCACTCACCACAAACCATATTACACCATCTGTGAGCAGCGCGCATAAGGCCTTTATGTTCACGTAAATAATTAACGTATTTAAGCATGAACTGGTTACGTTCATTGGTTGTTGTTTCACGCTTCTTTGCTGAAGTTGTAACTTTAAAGGAGTACAAACGTTAAACTCTTCGTTCGCCCTCAATAAAATAAAAACAAGCGGGCGCTCCCCTTGATACGAAGTAACCGACGCAACAAATTCAGACAGACCAACCACTCCGAACTATGAGAAGTGATTGCGCAGCTTGTATCGCACTATTTAGAAAAATTGGGATTCGTTATGCGGTGTGGTCCTTTCATGCTCACAAGTGTTTGACAGTCCTTTTAGTATCTGTAATATTACGAGCTGAAATTGTGATATCATGATGAGGCACTCTATAGTGGAAGGAGCCCCGCCTTGGGTTCCTACAACTATGGAGTTAAGAAACCCCGCTTGGAGTTCCGTAACGTGCACTGATATCACACAGTAGGCAGGCCTCTCACATTTCGACAGTATGAAAAGGTGACCTGCACGGCAGGGATTGAACCGACGACCTTCGGGTAAGCAGCCGAGGACCGCAGCCACTGCTGCATCGCGGTAGAGCTGAAAACCCTTTTGATGCCCTGAAAAAAAACTTTGCGCAATAAAACAAACATTGCTGCAGCTTGCACTAGTGGCGCAAGGCAGGAACCAACAGTGTAGCTAGTCACGTGAATACTATTACAAGATTTTGACGAGTACAAGTAACTTTCCTGGTAGTACGAAATTTTGGCGAGAAGATATCACGTGGTTAGTCTTACACGATTTCGAGTCGCGTCACTAGTTTAGGAAAAAACAAGTCACGTGAATTATTTGCTAGTACGTCACGATTTCGGAAAAAGCATATCACGTGAAAAGAGTTACGTTATTTTGGCAGAAACGTATCACGCGACTAGTGTCACGTCATGTGGGCGGGCACATGTCGCGTGAGTATTGCTATCTCACGATTTTACATTATGCTACACTCGTCACATGGCGTAAAAATTTCCTTGTCGGCTCCCCAACAACCTAATAGGTTACTTTGCAATGACGTTTTTTACCTATGCAGCGAAATTTCTAAAGAATGGTGTTATTTAAACCTAGGCTGCGGACGCGCAGTCAACCCAGTTTTCATTTTCAAAGTGAAGACAGGCTCGCATCTATTCTCGTATGTAGACATATACAGTAAAAGCACTTTCGTTCAAATGTACCACAGTGTGAAGTAAAGAAACTTCATTCAATTTACAACGTCCTCTGTTGTGAAACAAATGTCAAAGCGATGTTTGGAAGTAACTGAAGTATGTCATTCCTCTATTGCAGCGCAACGCGAAGTTATCTATCATTTTCTAATATTTTTATTTGGCCGATGCCACTGCGGGTGTCCTTATATGCACGAGAAAGTTAAAATAGAAGGAAACGCCGCCTACTGCAACTAAACAACAGCGGTCCTCTTTTCCGAGTCACTTTCAACGAGGAAAGGTGCAACATCGGTTGGCAGCCGCAGTGCAACAGTCCGTTAAATTTTATTCCTAATAGCGTTTTATGTTAATCTGGACATCTGAAGGTTGGGATCCCAAAGCCGAGCAGCAGGTAGCGGCCAATACCTCCATATTGTAGACAGCAAATGTGTGCACGGGTTGTGGTGAATAGAAAATATATAAGATAAAAACGGTTGCAATTCTTCAGACCTCTTACTCAACTCGACAGCCCCGCCACGGTGGTCTAGTGGCTAAGGTACCAGGCTGCTAGCCCGGAGGTCACAGGATCGAATCCCGGCTGCGGCAGCTGCATTTCTGATGGCAGCGGAAATGTTGTAGACCCGTGAGCTCAGATTTGGGTGCATGTTAAAGAACCCCCGGTGGTCGAAATTTCTAGAGCCCTTCACTACGGCGTCTCTCTTA